CTGTGCAATTTAAGGATGACATGTTGCACAGACATGTGCATCTGCAGATATGGATAAAACAAAGAAAACGCTAAATGAAACTAAATGTGACCTGAAGTATAACAGATTTCCCCAATTTTTATTGTGAAATGCATAGAAACACAGAAATACACAGAAATGAAAACAACAGGTACTAAAGTGAATAAGTCAAATAATTAACATGGCCTTATTTTATAATTAGAAAACTCTACTTACACTAGTTAAAAACATGTTTTTCTGAAATGGTGACCACTTCAGAAGAGGATAAGAAAATTATATGTTTTGTTACCTTTTGCAGTCTCTGGGAGCAACTACTTCACGCAAACACTCAGACCCCTTTCCCTCTGATTTCGGTAAGTTGCCTTCAGTTAAAACACTAGCATGTGTCACAGTGCACACAGCACCAGCTTCACCTACCTTTTAAACACATCTCCACGCAACCCCATGCATGCAAACTGAGCTTTTGCCCTGCAGTTTCCTCATTTTATAATAATTATTACACCCTTTAACTTACTAAGAGCAATCAAGCCTGTCTGACTGAGTAAAAGGACCAAATTCTGTGGTCTCAACCTCAATGAGAATTCCCTGTCAAAACGTTTATTTGCCCATTAACCAGCAGGTTTTAACCTCATCTTCCAACAGCCCTCAAGAAAGGTCCTAGGGTAACATGGCTAATATTTTCAATTCTTCAAACTCAAAGCATGCTATAGTTATTGGGAAAGGCTTTTTGTTTTCAAAAAGTTCACTGCATATCAAACATGAAAAAACAATGAATATTCCCAAAAAATAACATTTGACAAGAAAAATAAGCTTAGAAACAATGCTCATGCCAGTGTTACATTGACTTGCTTTATTACTTCTTCACAAGTATATCTGGCAACTATTCTTCATTTAATATGTTCTCTCATGTTCCCTGAAGTTTCCTTCAATGTGTTGCTGTTTAATAGCATTTAGTTGAAGAAAAGCAAAGTAATTTATATTTTATAGTGAGCTGAATACAATTCATTATAGCACAGATTATCTTAAGAGATGCTTCATACTAGCCCTGTGTTACTCCAATGCTGAATGAAATTCATGTAGTCAAACAATTATGCAAAAGCACATTATAGCAGTGCTTTACTGACTATCACAACGCTGTTAGAATAAATACATAGTATCTTGAAACCAAATAGGCAGGAGCTTGTAATTTACAGCCCATCAATATTGAATGACTTTCTACAGAAGCACTGACCTTTAGTACATTTGCATGAGTATTAGCTTTATTTCTCACACAGATGGCTCCAACTTTGGAAAACTTTTTTTTCCTCTGCAATTATTCAAAAAATAAAACATACATTTCCAGAAAAACCTCTTTCAGATGAAATATCCCAAGACTTTGGAACTGAAAACTAATATGCTGAACTAGAGTTACTTGAATATTTTCACCTGTTGCCTAGTACACAATACTTCTTTCACAAGACAGACTGGTTTAGAATAAGCCAATGCAAGTCACAACCATGGAAATTCTGGCTAGGTATGACACACAGGAAAAAGAGGTCACAGGAAGGGTGATGAAGCGCAGGATATCTAGGCAGGGCTGCAAAATCTCAATCCTTGAAGATATGCAAAACTCTGATGGATGGGGCCCTGACTGACCTGATCTCACTTGGAAATTGTGGCTCTGCTTTGAGCAGGAGTTTAACATGACCTCCTAAATCATTCTATAACTGTACAGCAATGTAGGCGATGCCCAAAGGCACACAGGAAGTACACCCACACCAAATATCTTACTATTGGCATGCTGCTTTTTCATCTTACAGAAAGAGAGAATAGAACATGACTGGATGTGGACACAAGGTCACTGTACCTGAGGTATGATGAACTGCACAGCTTTAAAAGGAAGCCACCCATCGCTTAAACTCACTGTTAAACTAAACGAAGTCTCACTGTTAAAATTTAACTGCAATCATTGCAGGAGCACTTTCTTCTCTTCAGCCCTTCTCAATACAGAGACTGCCCTGAAAGCAAGAAATAGTAGAGATCCCATGCTGGAAATATGCCTGCTGACCACCCAGCAAGTGCAGCTCTGGGATACTTTCAGCTACCTAAGTAGTAAGTGGTTTGGGAAGAGAGATTTGAGAACCAAAAGCAAGGAAGAGGCCACATGATTAAGTGAAGTGGTGGAGTCTCACAGCTGGACTGGAAATTTCAGTTTGTGCTCACAAGACAGCTTGTGTATTTTCCAATAGAGCAGTAGACACAGCATATGCAACATTCAAGGCAGATTTTAATTCAGAGATAACCACCATCTCCTGCAGAGAGGAGAGGAGCTGCTGAACAGACAGCAAATGGTACCTTTGAAAGGCTGCAGCAGCTAGATTGTGACATGTTCCTACCAGCTCACTTTGCTTTTAAGTTGGAAAGGAGGAAGAATAAAAAAAAAAACCAACAAAAAACATTAGCACTTAATTGATGGATGTGGCAAAGTCCCTCAATAACTATGACCAAACCAGGTGTCTCTCATCTAGCTGCTATAACCATTAAACTTCTCTACTTTCAGAGTCCATATTCTCTTGTCTGTTAGACTTCTGGCCTTTTGTCAGAATTTTGGTTTTGCATTTCTGGCTACAGTATATCCCAGCTTAAAAACTGTGATGGAGTGGAGCACACTCCCTGCCAGGACACTGAGACCCTTGGCAAGTAAGAGCTTGTTTTGAATCTGTGGGTTCACATCCAATCAGCCTAGAGAGGACATTAAATGCAGCACTTCCACATCCTGAACCAAGGACTGTCTTCCACACGATCATGCCATAGGTGCACATGTACATCAGTGCTATTAGCTCTGGTCAAAAAAGTCTTTGGGGTTTGACAAGAACACCCAACTATAACCTGACATGAGAGATTTAAACTGTTCCCAAAGGCTGTCACAGATGCCTAAGTGTGTTTACTTGTGCAGTTCAAAACAGCATTTTTGCATCCTGTATTGGGTCTAGCTGTGATGGAGGTAACTTTTCCCAGAGCAGTCCTCACAGCACTGTGCTTTTCACTGGTAGCTAGAAAGGTGTTGCTAACACACCAGTGTTTTGTCCACTGCTGAGCAGTGCTGGCACAAAATCAGCACTGTCTCCTCAACATTCCACCCACCACCACCACCAGCCTGGGGCTGGGCAAAACCTTGGGAGGGGACATACCCAGGACAGCTGACTCAGTTGATGTCTGCTTAGATATAAAAGCTAAGAAAAGGAAGCAGAAGGGGCATTCACTATTTTCCTTTGTCTTCCAGAGGAACAACTACCTGTGCTGAAGCCCTGCTTCCAGGGAAGTGTCTGGACATTGCCTGGTGATCAGAAGTAGAGAACAAAATTTTGGGGTTTTATTCCTTTAGCTAAAGCAAAAGATTTCATGCACACAAGCAAACTGCCTTATCTCGACCTACAACTTGTTTTCCATCTTATTTTCTATCCCCTGTCCAACTGAGAAGGGGGAGTGATAGAGAGGCTTGGTAGGCACCTGGTGTCCAGTCAAAATCAATCCACCACAGTCCTCACTTGCAATAGCTATGCATAGCTCCAGCTATGTCAATGAGAACAGAAGCACCTGACCATTGACCCTGGTGACACAAAGTCAATCAACAAACAAAACTAGACTATAAAAGTTTAATTCGTTGCAGCTTTTAAAAATTAACAGAAAGGAAAAAAATTCTCAATTTTCATTAAGTTATGAACTCACTTTGAATAATGAATCCCTAGTTTCCCTTAAGTGATCGGGTTATTCGTGCTGCTAATAAGTGAACAACTTGGAGCCAATTCCTCCTGAACCAGTACTAATTTAACTCATCTTTAAATAATTTACCAAAGAGGTAAGTGCAACCCAAATGTTGCATCAGCAAAGTGAGACAAAAAAAATTCTATATATTCTTTCATTGTTTCCAAATCCAAAACTAAGAAAACTCAAATCAAAGCATGGTTTCTCAGACAGACTGCTTGAGACCTTCTATTCCTCAATCTCAGAAACACAGGTTAAGATACTATTGAAACAAGCTAAACTTAATTCAAGAAACTATTTCCCACAACGTAATTTAAAAATTTAAACAAATGACAAGAGAGAGGAATATGTTCTCTATGAAATGATCTGCTGACTTTAAAAAAAAAACACCTGTATAAGTTAGCACACATGAGCAGCAATTTCTCATGAATGTTAATATAACCAAACTAAATCCAATAAACATGAAGGGAGGAAAAAAATTGCAAGCAACATAGTTATTGCTTATCTGGAAGAAAAGCAAGTTAGGATAAACAGAAATTTGATTTCCATATGGTGACACAGCAGCAGTATCATTTTCAGAGTCCCATCATCAACATCCACTACAGTTCAGACCCTGAGTGCCTCTATTGCTTTTGTAAATAAAAATGACACTATTTCCAAAAGGTTACTAAAAGTAGCTTCTATTCCATTTAAATGCACCATATGCTGAGCATTTAACTGTAGATGTCCCAGAAGTATTCATAACAATCCATTTCCCCCTACCTTGAGTCCACTGTTAGAACCTAACATTCATCACATTAAACTTCATTATGATCAGAAGTTCACTGAAACAAGAAGCATCTCTAATATTTATTTGAATGGTGCCTAGTACACACTTTCAGGCTGTGAAAAATGTGGTTTAATTATTGCATTACCAAACTGGGGGGAAAAAAAAAATCCATTAGTTAACAAGCAGAAATAGTGTAACTTACAGATAGGTGTTAACAGTCGATGGCCACATATGCTTTCTGTAGGTGCCTCTTTACCATAAAAGAACTTTAAGTGCAAGACCTTAAATAACTACAAACCCTTCCTTCCTGAGAAGGTACATCAATACTAGAATTCTCTTCTTAGAAAATTTTAAAGTGTCTCGATCCAGCTAATTGGTTGGCACAATTATGAAGAAAACAACCGACAGACAATTCAGCAGAGCATTGAGGAAGATACAAGATTCGACATCTAAATTGAAATATAAATACCTCTTTATTGTTCCTGGAAGATCTAGACTGAATGGAATTCGATAGGAGGATGCCAAAGTGTCATCCACAGCCTTGCTTATTTCCTGCAGCTCTCTCAAAGAAACGCAGCCAAGTAAAGCAGCCAGTTCACTGTCCTGTGACTGAATAAACCCATCTTGCTCTTCAATTTCCTTTCTTAGCTGTTGATCTTTTGTTTCTAATATGGCCAGTCTTGTTTGGAGGTCTTCAATTTGTTCCTGCATAGAACAGAAACCAGAGTTTATTATGAAACCTGTTAAAGAAAGTCCCCTGTCCCTAAAAAACAACAAACAGTACAATCTCAGAAGTAGCATGAATTAAGTTTGTCCAATATAGCACAACATTAAATGAGAAGACATCCTTTTGCTAACACACACAAATTCTTCTGTTGGTTGTATTTAGAAACTCCAGTGTTTCCAACTGTCTGAAACTCATCACCTCCATTTCAACACGAGATTTCAGGTTCCACTTCCAACACCAACTGTCAGTCATCTTTCACTTTTAAAATACACCGGTATTTCCCAAGTTAAAAACTTCCACAAAAAAACCCAACCCAAATCTCAGTTCTGACAACAGAATCTTGCTACAGACTGGCAGCTGAAGTGATCAACCACCTATCGGTTCTCCTGCATTGTACTCCTGCAGTGGTTCCTCTCAGACATAGGATGCAAGTGGAGAATCACTGACTATGCCCAGCCTTTTGATAATAAGCATTTCATTTTAATTAAAAGCACAAGATCCCTCCCTTGAATTAAAATGACCAGAACTGCAACCTCAGTTGCACTCCTCTTGCTAAAAGTTCAAATCCCATGCATTATGATATTGATATTACTTGCACATTCTGATTTTTAGTATCATAGAATTGTAGACTCACTAAGTTTGGAAAAGACCTCCAAGATCATCAAGTCCATTCTTTAACTGAACACCATCTTGCCAACTAAACCATAGCACTAAGTGCCACGTTCAGTCATTTCTTGAACACTTCCAGGGATGGTGAATCCACCAACTCCCTGAGTAGCCTGTTCCAATATGCATACCACACATTCAGTGAAAAATTCTTCCTGATGTCCAACCTGAATATCCCCGGGTGCAGCCTGAGGCCATTTCCTCTTATCCTGTTGCTAGCTGCCTGGGAGAAGAGCCAGCCTGATCCTCACCTCACTACAACCTCCTTTCAGGTAGTGTGGAGAGCAAAAAAGTCTCCTTTTCTCCTGGTAAAAACAACCCCAGCTCCCTCAGCTGCTCTTCATATGACACACTCTAGAGCTTCACCAGCTTCATTGCCCTTCTCTGGACACACTCCAGCACCTCAATGTCTTGCTTGAAGTGAAGAGCCCATAAAAACCAAAAAAAAGCTTCATGAATTTGTGTGTCATTCTTGCACAGGATTTTCCTTGAAAAACCAAGAGATAGCTTGCATCCAAGGAAGGAGCACTTCTTGAAGGAGTCTGGGTTTCTGAGTTAAAGTTATTTAATGTATGACCCTTGGCTCATTTGTCCCAGAAGTTAAAAAGTGAAAAAAAAAATTAAATTAAAAACAAGATAACTACTTGCCATTGAACTAGCTCAATGTCATGCTGGAGAATTTGATCTTATTTCTACCTTTCTTATGATCTCTGTGAAACTTTGCAACTCACTTAAACTATTATCTCTACACACAGCCACAGACTGTATGTTCACCATTTTCTATACAACCTGCAAGAGGGGTCTCTGACATGCTATCTACAGACTCTTAACAGAAATCAAAGTTCCTAATTCCATGCTCTGATGACATTCAGTCCAACCAAAAATAAAAATTAAAAGCAAAGCCACAGACCCAAAACAAAACCTTTAACAGGTAAATAACTAGGCATTACAAAACTGACATTAGAAACAACCATATGGCTTTTTATGGCAATTCACTTCCTCATTGTCCTTCTGTGAAAACAGCAATAAGAATATCTCTTCAACCCAGAGCAATGTTAGGGAGATAAACTGGGTTTGAATCACTAAGATATTGTATTGATTAACACTAAGATATTGTATTGACTAACACTGACAAAAAAAAAAAAAAAAAAAAAACAAAAAAAAAAAAACCCATTCACTAATTAATCAATTTGTATCCAAAAGAAGGTTTGAGTGGCATACAGCAAAAAGGTTCTGGGGCCAAATACTGGGTAATGAAGATTAAAAAATATCCTGAATAGCTCAACAGACACTTTCCATCTTCAGCAGG